ACCTTTAACTCATTTAATCACACTCACATATACCAGAAATCAGATCAATATCTACAGGTGTTCAGGTACAAAAAAGGACAGAAAAGCACTAGAAATGAAAGAGGCCACACAATTCCCTCATACAATCAATGAAACGGATCGAAAAACGAAGTTAAACTGTAAACTCATCAAGACATAAATCAAAAATCAGATTAACATCTACAAGCGTATAGTAAAACATTGTGGAATTCAAATATCAAGTGGGACAAACTGACAGACAAACAGATCTAGAGGGACAGGGTAACAGGCGGACAGACGAAGAGGCTATACCCCTCCTGGTTTTCATCGGTGGGGACATAACGTAAGAAACAAAATTAGATTCTCGTAGTGCTGGTGCATAAATAAGATTTAATATGCCGATCAAAAATATTAAATTTTAGCCTGTGCTTATTGCATTCGTAATCAGATTTGTTCAATATCTCCATTCAATGAAGGACTGTATAAGAAGTATAATTTACATTTGGGATAAACATCAGAACAATCGCTGTTGTAACACGGCTTGTGGAGGCCATTATCAAATGCTGACAGAGAATCCCTGACACCTAACGTCAGACCAGCAAAACTGTTCACAGTTAGTTGTTGTTCATAGAACATTTGAGAACTTTCATAACTTCTGATACCAGGGTTCTCCATGGGCTGTTTAATACAGTAAAATTATCTCTGACAAAGTAAGGAATCAAATTTTATGCGTGCATCACAGTAATACTTGTGATAATCAAAACATCCAAACATAGATTCTCTTAAATTGCACTGAAGCTTTTATCAAGCATATCTCCCATCTTATAACTTTTTAAGTCAGAAGACTTGTTTATCTCTTAATTAGGGCTTATGCACGACCATGCCATTTGCGTAACGAATTAGTGATTCAAAAAAATTGTGTGTGTATGTGCTTTTATAGTTACATGTATAATAAATAGCGATTCAGTTGCGATTTTATCGCAAAAAATACCGCCAATATTAGTTCTTCGCGTAAACTCTCCAACTCATAAAATTTTAAATGATGGAGAGCCCTATGACACATATTGTATAACCTAAAACAAAAAAGTGTTAAAATATCTAAGTAGGCACTTTGAGAAAAAAATGCTTTCCGTTAATCTAAGCAGATACGTATATAATAAAGGGGTATCTTTTAAAAGAAATAAATGTTCCCCAGATGCAATGCATCAAACTTCATAATGAAAATCTCATTCTATTTAAGGACAGCGAAACCATGTAAATAACAATAGAACAAAGATTTCAAAACTTTCTGTAATATGTTCTCTGTATTTTCTTTATTAAAACACTCGTTTAATTGCAGGTAATGTTTACATGTGGTTGTGCAACCTCATTTGGAACATTGTATTTGAACGTTATAATGTTATCTAGAATTAATTACTGCTGATTTTATTGTTCGTTTTGTCATTTTTCTTAAGATTGAAAATCTTGCAAAATTGCTAAGTCGTACGAAAATTAGATCATCAGAAAGTTATCTCCCTTGCCCTGAACAGCATTTCAACCAATTAAATAACTGAAAATTTTCTCATCATGCAATTTCTACCAATCACAAAAGAGAGGAAGTGCATAGTCCGAAGACTGTAAAAAAGCTTCAACTTTATAATACCGTATTTCAAGGATGACTGTAACAAACAAAACAAAGAATATTGTCTATAACCATTTTGAAAATGACCAGCAATGCAGTCAACAGAAGAACCCTGTCCTGCACCGAAAATTTGATATAATGATTTAGCAAAGCATTACTCCCTTTCAAAGATCTCAGGAAGAACACTGTAGTTGTTGAACACGTTGAATATGCTAGAGCAGAAAGAACAGTTGAAAACAAGGAATGGTTTGCTTTACAGGCGATCTCACGTTTTGTCTTATCCAATAAAATATACAATAATTCATGATTTACTTTTATTTTTGAAGTTAAATGTGAATATAATTGAAAAAAAATCACTATCATACGGGTTTACATCTCTTAGCTGATATTCGATACTCAAAACATGTTCTGCGTTTGGACAATTTCTAAATCGAGGAAAGTTAGGTCATTTTAAAAAATTGATTGGTTGCCCTCTACAGATTGACTGATTAAAATTTTCCGACTCAATTTTTTTTAAATCCAAGACACGATATTTTTTTCCTTTTATTCCTCTTATTACGTCAACAAATATGTTGAAAGGATGAGGTGACCTCGGTCCAAGGTAAATTGGCAAAAATTAAATGTCCAGATTTTACTCAAATTTTTGTATGTAACTAATAACTGATATGTGTACTTGTGTATAATTCACAACATGAAACGAAAAATGTGAGGAAAAAATAAAACAATACGTTATAATTTCACAAGGAAAAACTCATTGCAATCAGAAGATTTTAGCAAGGTTTCATGTACATGATTTGAAGTAATTCTATTGTATGACTTGCTAACCTCAAACAGACGGAAAATCCTTCTAGCAATTGATGCTTATTCATCTTCGAATCATCCTTGAAATACGGTATTATAAAGTTGAAGCTTTTTTACAGTCTTCGGATATCACTTCCTCTCTTTTGGATTGGTAGAAATTGCATGATGAGAAAATTTTCAGTTATTTAATTGGTTGAAATGCTGTTCAGGGCAAGGGAGATAACTTTCTGATGATCTAATTTTCGTACGACTTAGCAATTTTGAAGATTTTCAATTTTAAAGAAAAATGACAAAACGAACAATAAAATCAGCAGTAATTAATTTAATAACATTATAACGTTCAAATACAATGTTCCAAGAGGTTGCAAAACACATGTAAACATTCCTGCAATTAAACGAGTGTTTTAATAAAGAAAATACAGAAACATTTACAGAAAGTTTTGAAATTTTGTTCTATTGTTATTTACATGGTTTCGCTGCCCTTAAATAGAATGAGATTTTCATTATGAAGTTTGATGCATTGCATCTGGGGAACATTTATTTCTTTTAAAAGATACCCCTTTATTATAACTATCGCTTAGATTAACGGAAAGCATTTTTTTCTCAAAGTGCCTCCCTAGATATTTTAACATTTTTTTGTTTTAGGTTTTACAAATGTGTCATAGGGCTCTCCATCATTTAAAATTTTATGGTTGGAGAGTTTACGCGAAGAACTAATATTGGCGGTATTTTTTGCGATAAAATCGCAACTGAATCGCTATTTATTATACATGTAACTATAAAAGCACATACACACACAATTTTTTGGAATCACTAATTGTTAGCAAATGGCATGGTGTGCATAACCCTAATTAAGAGATAAAAAGTCTTCTGATTTAAAAGTTATAAGAGGGGAGATATGCTTGATAAAAGCTTCAGTGCAATTTAAGAGAATCTATGTTTGGATGTTTTGTTTATCACAAGTATTACTGTGATGCACGCATAAAATTTGATTCCTTACTTTGTCAGAGATAATTTTACTGTATTAAACAGCCCATGGAGAACCCTGGTATCAGAAGTTATGAAAGTTCTCAAATGTTCTATGAACAACAACTAACTGTGAACAGTTTTGCTGGTCTGACGTTAGGTGTAGGGATTCTCTGTCAGCTTTGATAATGGCCTCCACAACCCGGGGTGTTACAACAGCGATTGTTCTGATGTTTATCCCAAATGTAAATTTACTTCTTACAGTCCTTCATTGAATGGAGATATTGAACAAATCTGATTACGAATGCAATAACACAGGCTAAAATTTAATATTTTTGTTTGGCATATTAAATTTTTTTTTATGCACCAGCACTACGAGAATCTAATTTTGTTTCTTACGTTATGTCCCCACCGATGAAAACCAGGAGGGGTATAGCCTCTTCCCTCTGTCCGCCTGTTACCCTGTCCCTCTAGATCTGTTTGTCTGTCAGTTTGTCCCACTTGATATTTGAATTCCACAATGTTTTACTATACGCTTGTAGATGTTAATCTGTTTTTTGATTTATGTCTTGATGATTTTTAATTTTAAATTTTGTTTTTCATCGTTTCATTGAAAGAAGCGAGATATTTATGAGGGACTATTTCTTGTAGTGAAGGATATTTAGCAGATCATTCTGCAAATCTGCACATTGATTAAATTGTTTAGCCTGACATACTTTTACTCGGAGAATATTTTCCGTTATGATATTGCTAGGAACATTTAACGAAGGGTGCATACGTAATACAAGTTTTCTATCTTTTATGGCTCAAGATTTATGTCCAAGATTCAAAAAATCTATTTCAAGGATATGGGTCACAGCCAAGGTCTCAAGGTCATTGACCTTCAGGTGTCTTTTGAAAAAGCTTAATTAGTGAATTATGCATACTAAATATAAAGTCTCTATCTTTCATTGATTTTGAGTTATGATGAATATTCGAAAAAGCTATTTTTAGCATACAGGTCACAGTCAAGGTCACAAGGTCATTGACCTTGATGTCATTTGAAAGAACTTGATTAGTGGAGTAGACATACCAAATATGAAATCTTTATCTCATTGGTTCAAAAGTAATGGTGAAGGTTAAAGTTTACAAACAAACAGACAGGACAAAAACAATATGTACCCCCGAATTACTAAAAAATGTTTATAGAAACAATATTAATATGCCACTGTGAAAATGTCCAGCACCTCTACATTAATTTTCAAATAACATGCTTTAATTCATCTTTTCCTGCTACTCTAGGATATATAGACATACAAGTCTAGTATGCATGCATCACAAGCACTAATTGAAACACATATAATTTTTCCAATTTTATCTCCATTGAATCATTCATCTCAAAAAGAATATTGGTTTTGACTCACCAAGTCTGATGATATGGAAACAGAGTACACATTCCTATAATTCTGCTTAAATTCTTTTTTCTAGTCATTCCACACTATGCAGTCTTACTACTCATCTTGACTAATCCCACTGTACACAATTAACAACTCTAATCAACTTGATACAAGTCAGTAATGAAGCAAAACATGCTTGCCTTTGAATTCCCTCCACTTTATTTAAAAAGAGGAAGTAAATGACTGAGCATGCTCAACAAATGGCTCATGGGTAATCCTAGATGTTGCCAGAAAGTTTTTTTCTGGCAGTATTGCCGGAATGTCACCGGAAGTTGTTGCAGCTAGCGGTGATATTTCATTTTTTCTGGCAGTATTGCCAGAATGTCACCAGAAGTTGTTGCCGCTAGCGGTGATATTTCACTAACCCAAAAAGCTTGTTTCTCTGGTGACAAAAATGTGTTGCGGCAATGTTGCCGCAATATAGCAGCAATATTGCTGCAATAATTTTACTTTGGTAAGGGAGGTTATGTACGCGAATGAAGATTCATTCACTTGCCAGATGCAAGTTAATATATCTTTTTTCGTGTAAGAAACTTTTGCTATCACTGTTCAAACAGTTAATTAAAAGTTTTTGGTAAAAACAGACAAATTACCAAACTCCTACGTTTCCATAACAATGTCATTCCAGGGGACCAATCAAATCGCTGCTCAAATTCTCTTCCTTGTCGATTGCATGCATGTCTGTTAATTTTGATTTTAATATTCTGTATGAAATAATATGCATTATTTGTAACCTGCTTTTTACTCATTACTGTAACAAATGAAAATCTTGTTTCCTTGAAAAGAAAATTGAGTCACTCCTCTGAATGACAGTTTATTTTAAGAATCCTAATTTCATTTTTAGATAAACATAAAACAACATTCCTTTATCTCTTAGTGCAAGCTATTTTTTTAACATGCATATTTATTGCATAAGATGGCATATTGATATTTTATATCTCAAGTTTATTTATTGAGTAAGAACTGAAGGTCTAAGCTAGCTAGCGCTATTCTGTTCATATGGTTCAAGCTGATCTTGCTGTTCTTAATACATGTATTAACATTGCCAAATGATTTTATTCTAAGCCAAGATATTATATTGAATTATAACTTTCATTATTTTGTATCAGCTACAGTGGACAGATATCCAGACGAGAACAAGTTTTACACCTTCCTTCAACAATTAAACTTTGCGAAAAAATGAAGATTGTCAAATAAGTCTAGATTAAATTGATACCATTTTTTGCCTGAAAATCACATATTTTGCCAAATATTTCAAAATTAACATCACTGACACCAACTTTTTCTTTCATTATTTTAAAGTACTCGATACTTCTGACTGATCAGCATATAAGTCATAAAAAGCTTGATTTAAGAAAATGTTTTATTGCCTATTTAGTTTTTAATACATGTACCCCAAATATGTTACTTTTTAGTGCAAAAAAGGTCACACAATAATTTACGAGCATTAATTTGCAAGATTTTTTCAATGATAAATATTATTCAAACTATTTTAAGTAAAATAAAATTATATTTATTGGCGGACTATCTATATAAAGCACCTATCGTAAATCAATTGGTTGTATCTAGTGAGAATAAAAAATATTTGCGTTATTTATCCCCAGCCTACATAAGTGTAGTCGGTGCGAAGGTCACGTGAAGATCACAGAGTAGCACATTCATATGCATTATTATAGGCCAAAGTCCTTAGTTTTCAAATAAAGTTAACATTTTCTTTTTTCAGAACAATTCAGGGAGTTCACACAGCGGGGATGACTGGTCCATTAACATTAAGGAAGGCTTACATCTTTATTCACGAGTTCTCACAGTGGAGGCTTCTCGCGAGATATCAGACCTTGGTACTTCTTTGGCTTTGTACATATGTTATAAACATTATAGGATGTGGGAAATTTCCCAGCACTATTATCATCATTTTCTTCCTTGATTCAAACGTCAACTATTGTCTACTCGTAATTATACTCAGCAAAAACTTATAATTGGTTAAATTAAAAAGGGGTTTTCGAAAATTTAACACTTAATTTTAAATCAAACTAAATTGATTTTTTTTAAACTACAGTATTCAATATCAAAATGTTAACCGTCTTTTTCTTTGTACTTCTTAGCAATATAAGTTTCATAATCGTTAAATTTTGGATGGCGTGAAAGATATGGAAATGATTTAAAATCCATCTTGAAATAATTTATGGACCTTATACTTATCTTAGAATTGAACAAAGACAAAACTCAGTGGATCTGGAATTTAAACCAGAAAATATCTAACATATTAATTTTTTGAACATCAAAATATTGTAATTTGCAGTAGATGTTTTCAAATTTCTTTTAAAAAAAATTGTCTTCCGAAGTTTATTGAACGGATGCGTGTGTCTTTGTTTGTTGGATTAACCACAAGCCAAATTCCACCTCAAAAAATGATGTACGCTGTTCAATAAATAATTCAATAAATAACGTCCTGAGCTATATGACATACAATATAGAAATCATATGACATTATGCTTGACTTTCTCTCATGATTGAATCCTTATTGAATTGATACAGTTTATTTTACCACTTTTTATCATAAAGTATTATTGTGAGAAGCTGGAAAACAAGGGGTATTCGAGACACTGCACTGAAAACAAATGGTAAAGAATCAGTAAATAGAGTGAAATTAAACGCTTCATGAAAGCTCTGTAAAACTCGTTAAGAAACCCAAGAAATATTCACTGAAATATTTGAAATTTAATTACAGCAACCAATTTCTGTTTAATAGACACATAAGCAAGTGGATTTTTAAAAAAATGAAAATTCAAAAAAGGGACCGTCCCTTTGGGGACAAAAAAGTACAACACCAATGTATTTTGCCAAAATTCAACAGTTATCACTGATGAAGTTTGATTGACATTGGGACACAGAGAAAATTGAAATCATCATTTTGGGGATAGTTTACAATGTTTTAAAGAAACATTTGACAGTGAAAAAAAACTTAGTATGTTTTGAAAAAAGAGTGAAAACGACAGCGTGTACGAATATTAAACTATTATTTTTAAAAAATCAAAAAAAAAAAAATCCACTTTGTATGAAATTCAAACAAATAGTGAAACTTGAATCCATTTGTTTAAACCCTCTAAACTTTAGATGTACTTGGCAAAAACAGGCAAGATCGAATCAGAGCAAAGAACTGCTAATCATAAAAAAAGTTTTATATATATTTTCTTAAATATTAGAGGGCTTGTTTTTCAAATTCTTATTCGAGGGGTAGTTCAATTTCTGGAGAAGTTAAAAGTAAACTTTTGCGATAAAATTGATAGGCTTATAGAGGGTAAAATCAAATTTACTACATTAAATTTCTTCATGACACCGCCCCAAAACCCAAACCCCCACTCCCTGAAATAAAGTAGTTTTGGAAAGTGAATGTTTGTCACACCATCAATTTTCGATCTTTCACCCTTTGACTATCATTAATTAGTTTCATTTTCCAACCTTGAAAAAAAACAACACCTTTTAAAAAGAAGAAACAAGTAAAAAACCCCAGGATCTGATATATTCTAGGATAAGAAGGGCCATACCCAAAAAGTGTTTAAAAAATGGAAATTGGATAAAAATTTCAGACATGTTTTAATTAAAAGGAATATTTTAAATAAAACCATTAAGACAAGAGCATTGAAAAGCGTTTTCTGTTTCTTTCCGAGCACCAAGGACATTATTTATTGAACAGCCCTCGTTAATCAAATCTGAAAATGCTCCAATTTTAATTATTTTCTACGGAAATATTTAGTGCAGCGTGTAATGTTCATGTTGCAAACGTGTTCTGTGGTTGGATTGAAAATAATTCATACATGTATTTCGATCTTACCTGGATTCTCACGAATAAACAGATATTATAGATTTTATACCAAGATAAATCCATCTTTCATCATTTACACTAAATAATACCCTTTTTTCCATTTCACTTTATCATTTACCCTTCTGAGTGCTTTTTTAAATATTAATTCAACAGTATTTGATAAAAAAGACTTTCTATCTTTTAAAGCATAAGATTATTGACCATCAGTTTAAAGTCGCCGTGGGAAATTGTGTTGGGTATTAAAAAGTTTGAAGGTTAGAATTTTTAAAAATTTAAAAAGATGTTGTATCTTTTTCTCTCTTTTATTTTGGTCAGCTAACTTAACAGTTTACTGCTCTCCGAAAATCTCATTAAGGGATATCGTTTAGAGGGGTTTGCTGCTGAGGAAATTCCAAATATTGGTGTACATTCATGAGGAAGGAAAGTTCTTTCGCAAACACTGTTATTCTATCAATTATAATACAAAGCACTTTTTATGTGAAATAAATGAAATTTCTGTGATGTCATTGTGGACGGTACAAAGAATGGTGATTCTTCTTCTCCAATGTTAACAATGGTACAATGAGGTAATGTTTTTTTTTTCAACCAAAGTAATGTGTTCATAAAATAAACCTCATTTAAAATATAATGAAAAATCTTAATTACTTTTGTCAATATTTGATATGAAGGTTGAAATTTTTTTTTTTTGTCCCCTCCCTTTTTAATTTATGAGATCATTTTTATACTAAAGTCAACTACTACAAATTAGTTAATATTACAAATTCTCAGCACGTTTGTTTTCTAATTTTATTATCATATAATGATAACCTTCTTTCTTAATTCATTCAATCATTGTAAATATTTTCCTATCCCTAGGTATTTAAACCCACTTGTGGTGTTTCCAGGGTCGATTTTTTTTACTGGTTCACGGTTATTTTGATTTATGGATTAATAGAGTTGACACAGTTGTAACCTTTAAGTATTGAATTCTTATTTTTGGATGTCGTCGGTTATATAACACAACTGACCATGCCAACAAAATAAATACCGTGCTAACGGGTGAGTTATCACAGTTTGTGTTACCACTTTCATCACATAGAATTTTCATTGTGAAAAGCTTGCGAAGGGCTATTGAGACAGTATTTAAAAAGAGTGATAAAGAATCAGTAAAATACATAGATATTAACTAATGCATCACTAAAGCTGTTAATCCCAAAGAATTATTCACTGAAATTTATGAAATTTACAGCAAAAATGTTTGTTTTATAATAATGATATAATGGGCATCAAAAATGGGTACCGCCCTCGGACAAGGACTAACAACAACCAATGTACTGGTTGTCAAAATTCATTAAACTATCCTTTTGATGTTTGATTGACTTTAAGCAATAACAAATTTGATTGGGTAGGCATCATCTTGGGGGATATGTTTTAAAGAAAATTTTACAGTAAAAAGCTGAGTACCCAATGGTCACCCTATGTTTTGAAGATGAGTGAAATAAATTCGTGTAAAATATCTAAACAATTTAAAAGTTTTTAAAAATAAAAAAACTGTAAACATCCACGTTTGTCGGATATTGAAACAGATACCGGGTAATAAAACTTAATCCATTGCTTTAACCTTAAAACGAATTTACAATCAGATATACATGAAAAAAAAAAATTAAAAGAGCAAAGAATTCTAAAAGCACAAAGACAGTTATATATGCCAATTTCTTAAAAATTAATGATCTTTTTTTTCAATTTCTTTTGGGGGGGAGTTTTTTAGGGGGAAAAAAAATTCTTCGCAAAAAATCGAAAGGTTTATGAGAGGATGAAACTAGAATCAGGAATCCACACATTTTAAATTTTTTTTATGACAGCCTCCAAAGTCCAAACCCAAACGCCCCGAAGAGTATAGAAGTTTTGGGGATAACAAAAATAATTTTTTGTCTCACCAACAGTATTTCCCAGATTTTTACCCTTTGACTTTCATTTTTCCAAACTTAAAAAAAAACCTTTTAAAAGAATAACAAGTCCAGGCAATCAGAGGATTCCCCTATTCCAGTGTAAGAGGACCATACTCAAAAATGTGTTCTAAAACAAACAAAAATTGGATAAAAAGTTACAGACATGTGTTTTAATTAAACATATTATTTAAGTGAAATCATTTAGACTTAATCATAAAAAAATGGGGGGGGGTTTTTTCACACCCGGGGTTTTTTTTTAATAAAAAAGCCCTCGTATTGTTTCTATGGACCATGGAGATTTTTCCAAAAATAAATAGATGGAGTTTGGTGGTGCGATAGACACAAGTAAAAGTCAATGCTTTATTACATTCTCTAATTTTCTTCATTATTGTTTATTTGGTTAATCAGGTCCCCTTCGAAAGAAGGGACATATTGCTTTGCTTGCTGTTCTTTCGGTGGGCCAGTGTGTCCGTCGGTCCACCATTAGTTTCCGTTCATTTTCTTTGCAAAGGTTGCACATATTGAAATGAAATTTTATACACAGTTTATCAGCAAAAAACTTCTCAGTAAATTCAGTTTTGGGTACGATCTGGCCAACTCAGACAGAGTTATGCCCCTTTGGATTTAGAAAAATTCAATTTATTTGGGGAGGGGCATGTTTTACGATCATCTCTTGTTATTATTTGAATTTAACGCATTTCAGAACTGTTGTGCTTAATAGACCGACATGTAAGCTCCGTTTGTGCCGTTTGAAAAATAAATACCACAAATGAATATTGCAATGATAAAATGACAAATTAATTTTAAACGTTTCTTACTTTTATTTAACACGATAGTTGTTTTTAAATTGAATTAAATTGGGTCAAAACATATACATTTTTGTGTTCCTAGAGTATTGAAAATATATATAGTTCCTATTCTACCGCGCGGTAACAAGGATTTTTTGCGCGTGAGATATCTAATGGATTTCATAAAGAAATTACAGTGAATATAGTCTCTTTTAAAGCTAGATTAAAATTTAGATTTAATGTGTTTTTATAAGAGGTCGAAAATTTTTCAATAGAATTTTGTCTTTCACAGGAACCTTGGGACACTGCAGCGACTCGCCATGCCCTTCTTCCTACAAATGTATCCATACACACGACAACATTTCATGCCTTGCAGTGGGTAAATAGTAGCTTTTCTTTTTAAAAAACTTTATTGAATATATTTCTTTATTCCATCTATCAATTTTATTCTAACATATGGTGAAATGCTTAAATTTAAATACCAGGTAATATAAAAATTATCAAATAAATGAATACAGTAGAACGACAGATTGCTTTGTTTTCATATGTAACTGAGCAATTAAGGATTTATGATGATTCAGATGATGGTATCCATTTATTTATTGAACTTCAAGTATAAAGAATAGACAATGACCTATAACAAATATAAAGAAAACATTAGAAAAGCATACAATTTACATATAGTTTCATAAACATTGATAATAAGTTAATGTTAATGCAGCATATAACATAGAAAAATATTTTGTAGCAAAATGAGATTTGAACTTCCAGACAAATATCAGAATTAACTCAGACAACTTAACTGCAAAAATTCAAAAAAGTATAAATAACTAAATATGAAAGTTTCATACCACAAGATGCATCCGATATTCGCTGGATAGATAATTTCTTTTTTAAATGTTATGCTACCCTATTTTGCTTAGTCTGAACGGTTACTTATACGCAAGGTAAATAAAAATTATTGAATGATATCAATTAAACCAATGAAATTGAAGATAAAAATATTAAGATAACTTTTAAAAAATAGAATGATGTCATAACGAATAAATAAACGAAATAAATTGTTATAGTAAATTTGTTCTACCACATTTAAACATTTTTCCGTGAAATAAATGAATATCAATTAATTCAAACACTAGAATTTCAAAAAATATCTGAAAAAATGTTGCATATTCTTTATTGTTATGAAATGTGGCAGGATTGTAATTTCAATTATCATTGTTTTATTTAAAAGAGAATCGCACTTGACTTTTGATCTTTTTTTGTCATTGATTTAATTGAATTATTAAAAGATACAATGGGTACGCATCAGCATAATGATTTATGCTGCTGAATTATGACCATCGTACAAAGCCAGATTTCTGCGAGTACGATAATGAAAGTATATGGTTGATTTTGGAGGAGTTGGGGATGCTGTACACCTAGTAAGGAAGTTGTATCATTGCACATTGTGAGGCAACGCTCCTGATGTTGCACATATACTAGTATTCTATTTCATTTTTATTGTGAAAAACATTAGAAGAAAATTATAACCAATTTTCCTCCGACTTTTTTTAATTTACAACAGTAATAAAAAAAATAATAAATTGCAAGATAAGAAAAGCAAATTTTAAGCGTAAAATAAAAACCAGTGTTCATAAATTGAAGGATGACCATGACAAAATTATATTTATTTTCATTTGTAAATGATATTCAAACAAAATCTTTCATAATCTTTTTTTCCTTGTTCGCTTTGTTTTTTTTTTTTTTTTAAAATAATGCTTTATGGCAATTTAAGGAATTTTGACGGAAATCTGAAACTTCTGAACTCTTGGGACACATGGATAAATTTGATCACGTTAAACAAAATTAGACATGCCATCTTGCAAACAATCACACTATAGCAGCATCAATATTGATAATAAAGATCATTTTACAAGAGCCATTAGCATTGAATGTATGATCTGAAATTATAAAACATATATCTTTAATTGGACAGATTGTACAGCGGGTACTTACGGGAAGGACGGACGGTGTATCCCGTGCCCTGAGGCTCAATATAACAGCGGAAGTAGTCTACAGTGGTGTTCGATGTGCAAACCAGGGACTTATCAGGATCAGACCGGTTCTACCAGTTGTAAGCCTTGTCCTACTGGCACATACCAGCATGAAAAAGGCAAAACAAGCGTGAGTAACTAATGTTTAAGAATAATTGATGTGATGGGAAATAATATATTTATATAACACCATGATCTTGAAATAGTATATGTTTTTAAAACGACACGTTTTATTAGTAAAAATGTAATATGGTACGTTGTTGAATTAGTGTAAATGTAAAACGACACGTTGTTGGAATGTGCTATGGATCAGAATAACCCTTAATGCCAGCAAAGATCAATCACACAGTTAAATTTAACAATTATTTATTTACAGTAATATATATATGAATCAAAAAGTACAAACTTACAGCAAGAATACATACAACAGAGTGTCCGTAACTGCACACAATGTCCCAGTGAGAGTATTCTATCCCAGTCTCTTTGTACGCCAGTCTTACTTGTACATCAATGTTACTTATATGACAATGTTTTCATGCTTAAAATTGACAGGGTCTTTAAACATTGTCATAAATATACAAAATTCTAGAAGTCGTAAAAGCATGATATTACTGAAACATTCAGTCTGTCCGTCCGTCTGTTACGCTTTGGGGTACCAATCTCTTATCCGCAACTCCTCTCATACCACTAAAGGAAATTTAATGAAACTTTCACAGAATCTTTATTTACATATTGCCATTGTGCACCTTTTATTTTACTTTTTGATCTGACATATATTTTGGATTTTCCAGAGCAAAACATGGACATTGCCATTATATTCATATGGGAGGCGGGGGTATCATTTAGTGAGCTCATAGCTCACAGTACCTCTAGTTTCTTTTTTACTTATAGTGTGACCCATGTCCTGTCGGCGAACATAGTCCTAATGTCGGCAGTGTGCAGTGCACTCATTGTCCCCCTGGGACATACCAGGACCAGACCGGGTCAACGACATGTCGTCACTGCCCCAGTGGCACCTACCAACCCAACCACGGCATGAAATCCTCAGGTCAGCTTCGTTCTCAAAATTTACTCTAAAACTGAATACTAAGTAGCTTATATATTTTATATTTCATCTCTTCTAGATGTAAATTACGTGTAATTATTACTGATTAAAAAAAAAAACTTGTAGATCATTCTACTCGTTTAATCAATAATAATGGGGTTTCGAGATACTGCATTACATTACATTATTAATTTTTTCTTAGACTCTTGTAAACCTTGTGGACCAGGAACATATCAGGGTTATACAGGTATGTCGTTTACAGTCATTCAATACATACCAACTTTTTAATTTTCGCACGATAAATTGTATGATTTCCTATAAATGACTTCTTTCTTCAGGACAAAGTGCTTGTAACCGATGCAGTGCTGGTTTTTACCAACCCAGTGCTGGACAAAGCTCATGTTTGTTTTGTTCTGAGGGGTATTTCCAACACAGAACAGGACAAACCACATGTGACGAATGTTTACGCTTACGAGAGTGTACAAATTTAAACAGGACAGCATGTTATGGTATGGTAAACCTTTAATGTGTTAAATGGGATTAGCATGTACTTCTTTTTTGTCAGTTTGTGAAAAAAGCACACTTAGTAAATTTTCTATTTAAGTTTTCTTCAAATTAAATCAGTTAAAGCTGAACACAGCTCGTTAAAGGAAGGAATTTATCAGTTCCCGTCGTATTTTTTTCACTTCAGTATCCCTCTCCAGCCTGGTTTTATTTGTCTCTGCTCTAAGTAATAGAGCCACAACTGTGTTCTTGGTTCTTTGTATTTCTCCTCCCGAGTGTCTCCTTCACTGTCATTTATATATTTGGGGTCGATCAAATGATCTCTGACACGTCAGGAAAATTACCAAAACATTCTATATCAAATGCACAGGTTTATGCACTCATTTACAATATGAAATATACACAAATACACGTTTAACTAAGAAATAAATAACAATGTTAAAAAGTTCTCCGGGAAATGAACTTTAAGTTGGTCACTTGATCAAATCCTGTACAGCCTAAAGGGCTTCTCAGTAGATTTGATCACGTACCAACTAAAAGTTCATTTCCCATTGAACTTTTTAACATTGTTGTTTATTACTTAAATTTACAGCTGAGACGAATAAAATTGCATTTATTACACGAACGGGCCGCCGTATTGAAAGAAGTTTACCTCGCTCCAACATTTGAATGTTTACATGAGATTCATGTTTAGCAATCCAGTTCAGGAAATACCTGTATTATACAATTAGCCCTATTTCATAACTTCTTACAATATTTGAAATCAAAAGCGGTGGTATCGCCTGTTTTAGTTTACATAACTCCATATAGGAAATTCAGGTTAAAAAGGTAAGTGCAATTTTAGGCAAATCTATACACAGGGGCTTGTCACGAAATATTTATCTTCTTCTGATATAGTTACCCCTACTATAAAAATACCCAAGGGAGGAATCTAAGAATAGGAAATTCGCTACCACAAAAGATCACTTTATTATATATAGGGGATCTGACCTATAGGACCGGGCTTAGTTTTTTTCTCTACAAAAAGCTTGTCGGTTTTCGTTCTGATTAATGACATTAGGCTGAATACATATAACAATTTGTTTTTTCTAAATATTAATTTCAGTGAGTAGAGGTAGGAGTAACCCTTTCATTGATATTCTGAGTTTGTTATCTCCAAATGTAATGATTGATATTTGTCTTTACTTCTAATTGTGCATAATGGTAATGTCTACTGTCTCTGAAATTCTATTCTTTATGTATAGGCTATTTATCCGTGGATATAATAAAACATGTTATTAATGTGTGCAAATTATATTGGCCTAAATGAAATCGAAGGGAGTACAGTTATTGTTATATGTAGCCAAAATCAATGTGATTAAATTCTAAAGAATATATACAATTGAAATTTATCGCAGCTCAATGCTGCCGAGAATACCTGTATCGAGTAACACAGAGTGAGTTATTCTTGTCCTCGGAGAAAGTGTGCTTAAACTGAGGTTTGTTCCACCTGACTGACAACTGTACATAGGATTGTTACGATTTGATATCTCTTAAGTGTTTCTTATATCAAGAATGGGCATGCATAAAGGATAGATAATTGAAGGAAAAATACACAAGTCTATGAAAAAAATTAAAATAGTCTTTGAAAAGGCGAACTGCCCCTAAAAAATCCAATCTTAAATTATTCCTTACATCCAAACCTGTCAAAATATCACAATTTTATTAAGGGGCTGGCCTGCCCTGAAGGACTTCTAGGCCAAAATTCATGCAAAAATCAACGCTTTATTAGACAAAATGGTGTTTCGACCAGCTTTGGAGGTTTATTGTTAAGTTGTAAATAAAAAATTTTAGGTATAAAATACAAATTTGAAAAATTTACACATATATACCGTGGAAAACAACAAATAAAGATTAATATTTAAATGTCACTTTTTCCGGGAAATTGTTCTCTCCTATAGGTGAATTCTTTTGCCATAATGAATACATCCTTTGACCGGACTTTCTGTCTAGTTTCTGGGCAACTTTCGTTGCCAATCAAGAAGGAGTGAGTGGAGTATAGATTCGATTTTAGTATTCTTCAGTCAAATTCTAATAAACGCTAATGATATCATTAAAAGTTTCGATCTATGATAAAAGTTTAAGGTTATTCTGTTTTGGTAATGTAAAACTGTGACCTTGAACTTTGTATTTTCTATAGGATTTTCTGAAAAAAAAATATCGAGAGGTGAATTAATTCCATGATTTTTTTCTGTGACCACAGTTTTTCCTTTCCATATTGTTTCTGACAATATCCTAGACACGTTATTATTTTAGATATAATGAAAGACGACAAATCGTTTGAGTGGAATAGCTACATTTACAAAGATTACCAGATGCGCATCGACTGTAAGCGCATATGTTCGACCGATGTCAACTGTGAGGGATTCAGCGCCAGGCGCGGATCCGAGCCTGTGAAGTGTTACATTCATTACAGCAGACACTGGAGTTGGGATGACAACTATGACTTTTTTCTTTATCCATGGCAGTGTCGTTCATAGATTCTCAATAGATTTGTTATTTCAAACATATACAATGTATATAGTGTAGAGAAATGAGATCGAGTATCAAAAGAATTTGTGATTCATTTCTTTAGAATATGATGTAAAAAAGCAGACTTTCAATAAAGAAAGGTGATTCTGATTCTGTCTTACATATTTCTTACTTTAAATCACCTATGAGGTAATTGATATAATTTTAAGATCAAATTCATTTCCAAATATCGTTCTACCTGGTTACAGGGACATGTATGGATGATGCACAGAAGGATACTCATAAAAAAAATGGCGATAACGAACAGTATTCAAGCCCAAAAAAGTCCGTCAGACAATACAAATCAGGAGCAAAGCAAACACAGTCCACTCAAAAATACTCAAACATATGGCAAGCCAAACGTTGCTATATTCAATCTTTTTCATTTGTATTGTAAAATTTTCCATTTGCATTGTATAATTTTTCTTTGTATTCTATAATTTTTCATTTGTATTGTACAATTTTTATTTGCATTGTACAATTTTCCATTTTTATTCTATAATTGTCCAATTGTATTGTATAATTTTTCATTGCATTATATATTTGCCATTTGCATTGTATAATTTTTCATTTGCACTGTATATTTTAATTTATATTGTTTAAAAAATCATTTGTATTGTATATTTTTTCATTTGTATTCTATATTTTCCATTTGTATTGTATAATTTTTCGTTTGCATTGTATCCGAGGGATTGTTTATTTTGTTACGAAGGATATCATTGGTTTAATCTAATTATATATCGGATTTGGTAATACCCGAGATGTTCTGGGTAGTTTACACGTGTTATCCAGTCTGATCATTCAGTGCAAGGAGCATTTTTTAGCAGAAGAAAAGTAAGTTATGTTAATGGCCTGTAGGGATATTAAAACAAAGAAAAAGCATTTAGTTTTACCAGGCATATGCTACTAAATATATTGTCGGGTACATGTAACCACGAGACGCATGCACTTGTTTCAGTAATAATTCTTTTAACCCATACTAGTATAATAATTGTACTAGTATGGGGTAAATTTTTTTTATTGAAACAAGACTAGTGTCTGTGACACAGAATAGTCAATATTAAAACTCCCTCGATTGAACAAGCTTAGACAGAACAGACCCAGTTTGTTGTGAGAAGCTATGAGCATAACTTGGTAAAACTAAATGCTTTTTCTTTGTTTTAACGAAAAATATACAATGCAAATGAAAAATTATACAATGCAAATGGCGAATATGTAATGTGAATGAAAAATTATAGAATACAAATTGAAAATTATAGAATACAAATGGAAAATTATAGAATACAAATAAAAATAATACAATACAAATGAAAAATTATACAATACAAATAAAAATTATACAATACAAATAGAAAATTTTAAAATACAAATGGAAAAGATCGAATATTGCAACGTTTGACTCGCCATACAAACATCAGATAATTATTTGGGATCAGGTGCCATGAAGAAGTCAGCATTCGATCCCTGCCGACCGGATCCTTACCTGCTTACTTCCTTTAACTATAGAATTAGTATGCGATCATGTCACATTATGAAAAAAAGTCTTTCCCCAAGGTACTCAAAACCTTAAGATTACAAACTTGCATGAGGTGAGCATCATTATAAGACTTGTTTCGGTTAGTTGCTGCATCTGATATAAACAAATTCATTGTTAAGTTTTAAGGTATGCGCTGAGGCTGAGTAGAATGCTTCATAATTAATTTTACTTGTGTGATAATATGAATAAAAATCGGTATAAATAAAGTATTTTTGTTCTTAATTTGTAGTTGTATGTGTCAAAATTGATAAACAATATGAAAAAAGTTCGGAAATGAGAGAAACTGAGTACTGATGTCCAAAATCGCATTAAGGTGTTTCCACCCTCACAAATTTGATGGTTCAAAGTACAAAAACTGCATTTATTTTCATTTAATAAACTTTAAATTTTCCAATTATTGCAAAAAATGTATAGGTCACCATATTATCTAAGATGCAAAACACAAATAAACAGAAGTGTATGTCAACACAAAAAAATCGCACATTTTTTGTAAACAATATTCTGAAAAATATGTAAAAACTAGTTAAAATGCATAATTCTAATGCTGAATGTTCCTCAATACTTCCAAGAAGGATATGGAAATAACGAACAGTATTCAATTTCAACGTCCATTAAACAATATACAAAATAAAAGCAGAGCAAACACGGACCTCCGAAACATCAGAGTTGGGATCAGGTGCCATGGAGGAGTGAGCATCCCCTGCCGACCGGTCACACCCGCCGTGTGCTCGTTGTCATAATCAGGAAATAACGGAAAAAATCCGTCGTCAATTCAGTGTATAAATAATGGACTAACAATTGGTATGAAAAACGTCCGTCAGCATTTGACTCAATGATAAATTGTATTTGCTGACAAGGTCATTGTATCGACCACAGAATTTACGAAATGATGACTTTAAAGGAGACTGTTGATATTCTTGTTTCATCAACTTGCTTGTAATAATTTACCTCATTTAAGAAATTGTTCATACGTAGAGCATGCTCTTGCGTATCGAAACAACTGAGCTATATATACTCCGTATGCAGGTGATGAAGGTATATTGCTGCATAAGTAAGGGAAGTTGACGATAGAAAAGTTAAAGTCATCACGTTTATCATATAGCTTGGTTGTTAGATTACGATTAGTGTCTTTTTCAAGTAAAATATCCAAGTATGAAGCAGAAGTGTCGGACTCTGTGGTATCTTTTATCTCAAGCTCACCAGGATATATCGTGTCGACGTAGGAATGGAAATTATCATTATTAATTGACAATACGTCGTCGATATATCTAAATGTCGAGTTGAAGGCCACAGCAAGTGTTTTCTTCTTTTCACGCATAAGATTTTGCATAAATTCTGCTTCATATGAATATAAAAATAAGTCTGCTAATAACGGAGCGCAATTTGTACCCATGGGAATTCCAATAGATTGTTGGGATACCTGGTCTCCAAAAACCACATAGATATTGTCAATCAGAAACTCAAGCATCTTCTTGATGTCAACTTCAGAGTACTTATGTGTGCAATCAGAATCTGTTTTAACAAAATAATTTTTCAAATGACCAATGACGAGGTAAGTAAATTTACGAGTTCCATTTTTGTTGAAGAAGCCACTTATAAGATACTTTTGAATTGTGAATATCAGGGAAAATATTTTACATTAGAAGTACAATAAAGCAAATGCCTGAATGAATAGACCTTAGAAGGAGTTATTGCCCTTGTCAACATTTTTTAAAGACTGAATAATTGATTAAATAAAGAAAATATGCATTTTTTAATTTCTTTTAATTAACAATATTTATCATTACACCTATTGTAAAGCATTCTTTCAAAAGATATTGTTCTATTAGGTATGAATTGAAACTAATTAGAGTTTCTGCAAAATCCTATGACATCGTAGCAGGGTGGAATAACCTTAAAAAAATAATAAACATTAATGCATCAGTATTTGTCAGAGATATTAATTGGGAATTATGGCTAAAATATAGACAATATATACCTTGGCGCACCATGCTTGTGATTATAATGCATGGAACAAAAAAAATTAAGATGCGTTTTTGTGGTTCAAAATCATCGCATTGTTCAAAGAGTTGTGAACCTCAAAATCATAATTCACTCATTAGGCCTAAAACTTTTTAGCTCTTTTTCTCAAAAAAACAAACAAACAAAGATTAACCTTCATAAACACTCAAAACCGTCTAGATTGGGAATGACTAGTGGTTTTTTGACGTTGTACTTAATGATATTTACAACGCAGTCACAAGGCTACCATACTTATTTACAAGACAGGAAAGGTAACTCTAAATCTATAACGCGCAGGCTATGTTTATTCGACAAATCAAGTCAGCTAAGACTACAAGTATTTGTGTCAAATGTAGAAATCGGATTATTCGGTACCTTAAAGGGAGAAATATTTCAAAAACATGCACTTCAGGTATTTAACATATTTTATGTTTCTTTTAATCGATACCGTTTTTGGACTTCCAGTCACCTACGGAAAGCAATACGGGACAAAAAAATAATCAAATATTAACCTTTTGTTACAGAGAATGCACAAAAATGGCCTGGGCCACTAAGTGGATACAGAATACTGGACATGTCAAGGTAAGACCTATTCCATTATCATTAACTACATATACATGTATTTCAAACTCTAAAGAAATGTGGAGAAATACTTTTAAGTAAAAATATTTGTATTATTGTTACATGTATTTGTAGAGTGCTTGCTGGCCCTTACTGCACAATGATTCTCGGTGATTTAGGAGCAGAAGTAATCAAAATTGAGCGACCAGGTACAACTTTGATCTAACCAAAGGAGTCTGAAGTTTTTATCTTTAAAAAAATCCAGAAAAAATATCCCAACCTCAACTATAAAAAACACGGTTTTTTTCTTAGTTGTAGGTCAAATATTTTTCCCATTTTTTTTTTACGATAAAAACTTCAGACTCCTGTGATCTAACTAAAAATCAACTCACAGAGTATGGTTCTTCATGTGTTATATTTATTACCAATATTACCATAATCCTCGTTTTTTGCTCTACAGGATCAGGGGATGATACTCGGTTGTGGGGTCCACCATTTAAAGGTTCGGAATCGGTGTACTTCCTCACAATCAATAGAAATAAAAAGGTAGCTCCTTTATGGTACATAAAATAATTTGATATTATGACAATGTTAGTATGAAGAATTTTTTCAAGATGTTTTTTTTTCAGTATTTTTTTCAATTTTTATTTTAGGCAATATATTAAATCCACAATTGCGTATACGATTTTTTTAAAGTAATAAAATGTAACAGATGTCACAATAAGTATGTTTTGAATGCTAGAAAAGAAGCAAAAATCCTGTACTTTGTTTTACAATGTGATTAAAATCGATTCATTTGATCCGCTCCCGAATCGCTACCCAGAGAAGCGATTTACTTTGGAGGATCGTAATTATAGGATATAGAATGAGACTGGTGTATTTTACAGAGTGTTGCCGTTGATATAAAATCTGAGAGAGGTCAGGACATTATCAGAAAGGTTAGTTTTCAACCCTCTATTTCTATCTGAAGTATTAAAAAATAATACAAAAATAATAAGTATTGACTATATATTTATAGAACAGTTATTATTTCTTAGATGCAATTTGTCGTGAGGGGGTTTTGAAGAAAGGAAAGAGAATCTATTTAATGATGAATATTGACCATGTCAAAAATACCTTTTTTCATATCATTACAATAAACGTATGTTAAAAAAATAAATAAACTACTTTCTTTGGTCCGAGAATTTACGTTGCAATTTTTGCAGAAAAAATACACAACCTGAGTTAGGGGCCAGTAACACATTTCATTTTATTTCATGTAATCACAATAATATAACACATTATAATTGATTTTACGTAATCACCATATATACGAGGCTGTTCAATAAATATTGTCATTGGTGCTTTGAAAGAAACAAAAAAAAGCTTTCCGATGATTAAGTCTTCATGACTTCACTTATATTCTCTTTTAATTAAAACACTTGTTCGTAACACTTTTATTCAACTTCTGATCGTTTTTATAACAATTTTTTTTTAGTAGGGCCCTTCGTATACTGGAATATCGCATTTCCTATGATTTCCTGTACTTGTTTTTTTTTTCTGAAAGGTTTTTTTTTCAAGTTTGGGAAATGAAACAAGTCAAAAGTTGAAAGATCTGGAGAATATTGTTGTTGTGACAAAACATTATCCTTCTTTTTATCCCCCAAATTCCTTTACTTTGAACGCTGTCATGAAGAAATTTCATGCAGTGGATTCCTGATTCTGGTTCCTTCCTCTCATAAACCTTTGATTTTTTTGCAAACATTTTGCTCTCTAGACTCCTCCATAAATTGAACTGCCTCCCCGAATAAGAATTTGAATAACAAGTCTAGACCACTAATACATGTATTTAAGAAAATTTACCATTTACCATTTAAAACTGTTTTTGTGCTCGTGCAATTCTTTGCTCTTCTCGGGCCTTTGCTGTTTTGTCCAGTGCATCTTATTGTAAATTTGTTTTGAGGGTTTAAAGTTTCATCATCTGTTTGAATTTCAGACAAACGTGGATAACTACATTTTTTGATTTTTTAAATAATTGTTTAGATATTCTTATACGCTGTCGTTTTCACTCATTTTTCAAAACATAGGGTAACCTTTGAGTATAAAGCATTTTTACTGTCAAATGTTTCTTTAAAACAGTGTAAACTACCCCCAAAATGATGCCTATCAATTTTGCTATGTATCTTAAAGTCAATCAAACATAATTAGTGATAATTTGTTGAATTGTTGCAAACAGTTCAAGTTCAAGTTCATTTATTCACTCAAAACCATTTAAAGTACATGGTACATGAGGACAATGAAAAATATTTACAGCATATATACATTCTGGTCAGAGGTATAAGTATATATTATACATAATAAGACAATGAAATTGGAGAAGAAAAAAAATGAAGAGGAAAAAAAAGGGGAAAAAAATGGAAAAAGGGGAGGAAAAAACACGTAATAATGAAATGTGAGGAGAACAATTATGGAGGACAAACTAAATCATATATTTCTAATATAAACATACAGAGTGTTTTAAGTGACATAGAATCTTGTTTTGTCATCAGTTGAGAAAATTTAAGAACATTTGGTCTAGTAAAGTAGTATTCATTAATATACTTTTTCCTGATGTTTGACAGTGCAGTACATTCAAGTATAAAATGAAATTCATCAGCAACATGTTTAGCATTACAAAGTGTACATAATCTTTCACTTAATGGTATAGATGCCCATCTTCCCAACTCAACTGGTAGATGGTGATTAGTAGTACGAAATTTGACAAGTATTTTTCTAAATTTTAATGGCAGAATACTTAAATACTTTTCACACTCAAAATTTGTTTTAAATATTATATACAAAGTACCTTTAGAAGAACCTTATTAATGTCAGTGCTTGAAATGTCATTATTACTCAGTTCAATAAGGTTACGCTCAATTGACTTCACAGCTGAAGTATCAATGTTATTACGAAACTCGGCTTCCCTGTCGGGGCACTATGACTTTACACCTAGTTGGTTTTCACACGTGGAGCTATTTTTAGACATTGAACAGGTGGACAAAGAAAAAGACAATGGATTATGTACATCGGAAAAAAGATTACAGAACTCGTGTACTTTAAAATGTTGTAAAGGTGGTGTTACTTGTAAAAACAGTAGTACTGTGGATTATGTTATTGCAAGTGTACACATTTTACCTTTGTTTTTGTCGGTACCGAATCTACTATTTATAATATACAAATCGTTATTTTTACAGAAAGAGGGTGTTGCAGTTCTTTTGTTATTTTCCCTAAATGTGTAGCAGATTAAAAGAATAATTTTTATGTTGCAGAAACTCATACTAATTTTTTTCAAATACAACAATATTTAAAGCACAACGAGAAATAGTATTTGGAATCTGCGCATTGACTTCCAATTTGCCAACAAATGATGTGAAAATTAGTCTCACGGCAAGATATGTCAGATTTTCCGTTTTTTAAATAGGGAATCCCCATTGTTCTAAAAAAGTGCCTCCTTGAAACAGAATAATTTTAATATATACACAAAGAGGCAGGAATTTTCTTCAATACCGCCATTTCCGATTTTTGTTTCAAAGTTTTTGAAAAACGCAAAAATTGAATAAAAATTATTCTCCAAACGAAATGAAAAATGTGAACATTAAATAACACTCGAAATCTATCGTGTCCGAAATGGTCTAGTGGATATGCTGGTGGACTTCCAAGGAGAACTTTTACCAGAGAATGGGTTCGAATCCTGAAATGGATCATTTTTGCATATTTTGTTTTTCTTATTTTTTCCCATATGTAATGGTAGTGCAGTTATATATTTTGAAAGAGAGAGAGAATGCCAAGAAGTTAATTGAGTAATAACTATAAATGATAAATGCAGGATTGAATTGTTTTTCTTGCTGTGACTTAAAACTAATGCTTTATTTAGTTTTGTCTTGGAAAGTAAAGTTATTGTATTGTTTAAATAATTTATTTTTTACATACTTTAGTTATTACAATTTTGAATAATTCTGGTCTCTTAGTTAGTAGCCAAGATTGATTTGAAACAAATGAAATGTCTTGGATGTAGCACCAATAGTGTGTTTATGGGACGCAGTTTTATTTCATGGAAAATATTTCCGCAGGATGTCTACAGTATATCTTTCAAAATGCTGCTTTAGCTATGGTGCTTTTTGTTGTTCCAACGTTTTTCGTGCAAAATGACGAAAGTGTTTTGCTGTATCAAGCAGGAAACACCCGCCGTAAACATTCTACGTAGCTGTAACTATATTTAGACATACCGAGGGTATTTAAGGTAAGGTTTGCGTCTCCTTCCAACTCATATTTTTTTTAATATGCACACATGCTATATATCAATTTATTCAGGGAGATTAGCTTCATCATTTAATATGATTTTCAAAGATATTGCCCGTCCCATTTTTTTAGTAAATGATGCCAAAGTTAACGTATTTCACATTTCACCTCGAATATTATTTTCATTGAAAAAATTGATTTATTTTATAAATTATCAAACTTTTATAATTAAAATGACCTGAATTAGTATAATTCATGCTTCTATTATTTAAACTTTTAATTTTCCGTTATCAAAAATGTGAACATTTGGGTAAAAAAGAAGATTTTTCAACTTTCCTTGATAAAGTGAAACCGTTGCCATGGCAACAAAAATATAAAAATCAACGTTTTACATATCTACCGATTCCATCAAAATCCATGAAGTTATTAATTTGATCATTTTCATTAATTTGAACTAAAAAAATATGTATGTCCCCAATATTATTTCCATGGAAACAGGGGCTATATTATGGGTTCGGAACATAAAAATCAGGCTTTTTCTACACTTTTAAAGACAAGTGAACATTGATATCACCTTGTCATGGTGAATGTTAAAGACTAAATGTTATTTTTGATATTGTTTTTAGGCATAAATTGGCCAAAAATATTCCAAAATAAAACTCTTCCTGTGCTACATGATGGTCTAAAAATTTATTCCATGGAAGAACTCTAGTATTTATGGCAATCTTTACATCTGAATATTTTGATGAAATTGTCCATGAATTATACTGCAACACCTTTAGAAGTACATGTATATGTAAATAAACATACTTCAGAACATGTTGCAACTAAACCAATTAAAAGCCTATAAATTTGACCTCATGCTGATTTAGTTATCCAACATGTAGTAACTTCTAGACATCTTTGTAGCAAAATATCTTTATTCAGTTATGGCTGGTGACTGTCATTATACAAGTATGCCATTTTTTGAGTGAAATGTTGTAAGCATTGCATCCACGAAGCTGCTGTTTTTATAATTAAATTATTTCTTTACTTCAAAGAGTAGAAATGTTATCTTTAAAGTAATGTTTGTTTGCCCTCTCTTGACTCAGGGTAAAATTATTGGGTCGGTAGGTGAGAAATTCTTCAACAACATTTTTTAAGGGGGATAAGAGGAATAAAAAGAAAAAAAATCCGGCCCTGCATTGAAAAAAGTTTTCAGTCTGGTCATTTTAGTCAGTCGGTCTGGAGAAGCCAACAACCAAACATTTTTTAAAGATGGCCTATTTCTACACTTCATGGACATTAGCTCAATCATTGGATTAGGTAGTCTGAGAATCTAAATTGAAATATCAGACAGAACAAAATAAAGATGAATTCTAAGTGACATCAATTCATACTTTAATTAGTTTACAGAGTACTTCTGATTTCAGCAAAAAGGCAAATTCTGCAAAATGACATAACACTGTCAAAAATATTTGTCAAGAACAGGGAAAAGAAACAATGCTACAGTGATAAATATATCTCCTTGATATCCATGAAATAATTTAAATATAACAAAATTTTCTCCTTTTTAAAATCAAAATACAGAAAAAAATTAAAAGATTATAAATGTAAACAATTTTAAAATAAACTACATGTACATGTATTTGTGAAAGATTTTAATTTTAGTAGATTACTAAACTGGTCTTATCATTCCTAC